ACTTTTAACCTTCAGAGTTTTCTTTGCGCATAAGAATTATGTATGCATCAAAAGCACATGATCATACAAAGGAAATAGTGAAGTATCACAATATCAGGAAAAACGTGGGGAATTACTCACAAAGAGGAAGGACGTTTTCCAACTAAATAAAAAATTCCAGGCTTTTGGGACGGACAATTGAGATTGTAGCGCGCACGTATTTGAGTGACGTTGGAGTTTTGTTATCTAGTCAAAATAGCTTCTTTATTTCGACGAAAATTGCAGGATATTTTGCAGCAGTTGTATTGTATTTGCAGTTGATGTAGTTATATGAGGAACTTTGTTCTATCCTATAAGTGTTAGTTTTCATTTTCATATTAAACCAGCAAAGATTCCTGCGGCGAGGTTCAGGCAGCGGGCTAAGTGCTCCAAGTGCAGAACGTGATCTTTTCTTTGTTGAGGCAAGCCGAATCCTAGCATTGTCATTCTTCTAACTCCTGAATAGTCATTGCGAAAGCCAATTGAAAAGCCGTCCTCGGACCCTAGCGGAACAAAAAATGCGCAACGGAGGCGATGCGCAATTTTCTCTTCAATGCTACAGCGCACCATATAGGCCTTTTCAGGCACCAAGCATTGCTTGGCAATTGACGTCTTTCAAGTTATCGAATGAGTACTTAAAGTCAGAGAAAAAGTCTGTGATCACCTAGAGGAGCTTCCAAGAAGTTGTGTATCAAATATAATGCACGCCGCCTCCAATAGGCTAGTCCATATGTCATTTAGATCAATGACAATCAATATAAGAAGAAAGAGTTTCGGTAGCACAGTTGTGGTAATGCTACATAATGCGCGCAGGGCTGCTTCTATCCCGTCCTGAACCAAACAAGTGGCCGATCCCGGGTGGTTAGAATTGCCTTGTAACACACAAGTACTGGTCGTTTGCTTCACTCTGCACTCCAGGTGAACCGGGACTTCCATACCCTTCTGGGTAGCAGATCTGTATGATACTGAGACTATAGAAATTGTCATTCAAAATAATCGTAGGCTACTTTAAAGTCAAGGGTGCATGCGTTACGGATCTTCATGCCCACTGACTTTGTGCGGTAGCGTGAAGACTCCAGTGATTCTGCTAATATCAAAAGCATGTGAAGAAGGTTTTCACAAGCTTGGATTTGAAGTAGTCTGTAAAATTCCTCAGCACTGTTAATATTATATCTCTATTTATCAAGCGACCCGTCATGACATTTGATTGTGGGATTCTTAGTACTTCTGGTATTCGATGCATTTCCTCGCAATCATCGTCGCAAAGATCTCCAGATATCACTTTTTGTTTCGGCTGCTGTTTGAGGCTTTCCTCTCCTTCATGAGTGCCATAAAATCGTAGTCAAGTCATCTTGCAATTCTGAGAATATCCGATCTAAGACGCTCCTTACATGACTGCAAAAAGCTTTTGTGGAAAAGGTGTCGAACTAGTACTTCACTTCGTAATAACTTCCTGATAGCTTGCCTCACTAATCGTTCGACCACAGACCTTCCTACTTACCCTCCGTTCCTATGGATTTTACTTGAAAAATGAATATTTTATGAACGAGTTTGATATTGCGGGCAGTGATTAAGTGTTTAAATAACGCGTGTAACACTTTGGTAAACATTTTTGTTCTTTCTTTTTGAAACGAAAGTAATTAGAGGGTACTGAACAAGTTATGGAAAGATGATACTGCTAGAGAACCATTATGAATTATTGTAAAGAACTAGTTCTAATCAAGATACCGATTTTACTCATCCAGACTGTGAAAAAGGTGAGACTGCTGGAAAATCAGCCGCAATAAAATAGATTCTGTTATTGACAATCATGTGTGTGCTCACGAAGAAAACACAGAAGTGCTACAGAGTTTATCGCAGTATTTTCTGATTATTCTCTGAGCTCGTATTTTTTGCTCTCGCATTATAGACTTTAAACTAGAGCTCACAAGCAAGTCTTCCACATCACCTCGATGGGATTAAAAAGATGACTTTATCTATATTTTAGGTAGCGTGGTGGTTAGACATGCACTGCATTACACACATTGTTGTTGGTTTGCACCCCTCCTCCCCCACCCCCCAATGTACAGCTAACCAATCTCTACTTCATTTCAAGGGTTTTCAAACTGATTCCAACTTATGTGGGAATAACGAAAACTCTTTCTCACCATACGTATATGTTTGTATTGCATTTTATTCTACCACTCTATTTAGTCCGTCTCACAATTTTTTCACTGTGTGGATCCTAGTACTTCCAGCAACTAGTTCGTTTTTCACCTTCATTTTGACTGTCGTTGTATACTGGCTTAACACGTCTCCTTGCAGTCTCGAGGAGAGTCTGGCCGTGTCGTTCCGTAGGGCATTCGAGCCTCCTCCTCCCCCTCCCATGTTTACATATTTATTTATATACACACGTACACATACGCATATAGATACATATGTATACGTACATACGTATATATGTATATATATATATACATCTGTGAGAAGGTTGATTTTCTTTCCTACCTCTGCTTTTGATTTCTGCCTAACACCATCTCCGAATCAGCTGGCAGAAAGCCCGGCAAAGGATCCGTCGCCGAAACCCTTTCTTTGGAAACAACATCATGAAGACTTGAAAAAGCTCTTTCAAGGTTACGTTAGGACAGCAAGGAATTCCGAAAAAAGAATGCTTAGAGGCTAAACGAGGTTGGTACGCCAGGGCCATACACCGGTATTTCGGAGGTTTCGGCCTCCTTGTCACTGACCGCCGCCCCACATTGAGCCCTGCATTATAGCAAGGATGGAGGCTTATGTGGTGATGGCATACTGCACAATGACACTGGTCCATCACACTTCTCAGTCGATGGGTTTCGGCTGGTGAAACAAAATTGATCTATAACATCGACTGTTTTTAGAACCTCGCAATAAACATTCACAATAATTCCAAAACAAGAATGCTTGAAGACTAAACGAGGGTTGGTAAATATACACCATATCATAAGCACGATCAGCAATATACCATTTGGAATATGTGCTGGATCCGCACAGCTAGTGAAGACGAACTATCTAAGTATCTAAGCATTTAAGTATATATGTATTAGACCCAAACAAGCCATTATATCGGTCACTTATGCAATCGACGATGAATGAATGGAATGAAGTGCATGGCGCAACATTAAAGAATAAAATTATCATTTTCTCAACTTGGTATTATTCCCTTAATCAACAAATATATGCTATTGGTTGCTAAAGCAAAAGTAAAGGAAACTCAATGATAATTTCTAGAAGAGCGGTCGAAAACCTGATGATTTCAAAGGGCTGAACACGAATTCGCCGCCTTTTTTGATGTCAGTCGGGTAATGCAACGCAGTGATCAGAGGTGAGCCGTCATACACATATGGTCTTCGCTTCAGCCTTCTGCCTCGGCTACACCACCCCTATACTACTTCAGGTCAGCAGATTAGAAGTAGACATGTTTGTAAAGACAGAAGCCTTTGTTTAATATCTCAGTAGCTCAACGCAAATTATTGACCGGATTAGATATACATCGAATCATCCCTCGGATGCTTGATGAAGTGGAGTGCATGGCTCATCCATCAAAGATTTATTAGCACCGTGTGCTTTATTCCTTATCCTTTACTTAGATCTAGTTGAAGTATCCCGTACTGTTCACTCATGGAAAGTTAATCGAAAAAGTTCAATGAGATCTTCAGCAACCAATGTGAAGTCGTCAGAGACGCCTGTTATGTTGTTACAGTCATCGTTCACGATTATCACACACACTCACACACCTACGTATAACGCCATATTTCACAATTTCTTTCATCGACAATGGTACCCCTGTAACACAGAGCGGATGGAGACAATTTAAACCTGATTTTTTGTTTAAAACGTCACAGCGACGATTATATTGTCGAAATAAATGGCAACTCTGACAAGGAACATTCGCTGTGCATGTAATGAGAAGAAGTGAGATAAACAATCAAGATCTCCTGTAAAGTATTACAAATGATCATTTTGGCGAATTAAAAAAAGTGTTCGTTGAGTGATAGATTCAATAGAACATAACACCAACGAATTCTTCTCACCTCTTTTCGACGACGCTCATCTATCAGTCTCGTCAGGGTGTCATATCGATAGTCTGGAAAGGCCGCAAAAAGGAGGTTGTAGACAATTTGCGGTATAGACAACTTTATATTCGTGATGTTTACGTAGTTCTTACCAGTTATTCGCCGTATCCCTCAGCATGTCAAATGGGAAACGAAGAACACTTGTGGAAGCAGTGATAGTAGAGAAAAACAGTTGGCTGCTTTGGTAATGAACTTTGTTCTGACCACGGTATTGTGTTATATTTGGACAAAGACGATGCTAATGTGCGAAATGGTAAACGTTCCACTATTCTCGGGAAAAAACGTGTTAGTAGATGATGTGCAAATATGGCCACATAAACATCATTCACTTTCAATCATCAACGACAATGCACCATCATCATTACCTGTCACTTTTGGTTCTTGCCAAGGACTGTTCTTCCTGTCTTTTGTCTAGAAATAGATTGCTTACTATGATGGATATCCATTCATTACACTATACCTCATTATGAGAAGATGCATAGCAAGAGTACAACAGTAACGATAGAAATCAGGATGGTTTTTAGAATCCTAGTGGCTTTTGATTCTTGTAGAGCAATTCTCTCGAATATTTTCTCTCTTACGTCAACGAATTAAGTGTGCACTACTGTTCAGAGAATTACACATATGACCCTTTCAATTACATTAACCTATATACCTAAATAAATGTTCACATGCTGTCTTTGTGTTAGTAGAAGGGCTCTATTCCATTTGTATCCAGCTATATAAGTGCCCAACCGTTTAATCCATACTGCTGCTAATGCCACTTAATCTCGCACATTACACCTGCGTTGTGTTCCTTTTTAAAATTTGCTTTTGAAAGGCCATTGATGAATACTACTAATACAATAACAATAAAACTATCCAACAGTGTTGAGTTACTTTCCAACTCCGAACTTCGGACGGAATTCGAACCCGCATTTCACCCGCTCCAAGGGCTTGTGCTATCAATTACACTACCGGGGCTCCTGTTCTGCCATCACTCTTTCTGGAGTCAAATAAAAAAGCTCCCAACTGATAATGAAATAATCTTTCCAATCACTAATATTAGCACTGCGTTATATCGTAGGCTTTTTGGAGAAGTTCTCAATGAATTCTCAGTTCACTCCTGTTGTGGACCACAGTCGCCAGTGTTGCCATTAGGTTTGACATCCTGGGGACATGAGAGCCAACTCTTTCATGCCTCATGATTGTTCAGTGTTTCCAGCTATACAGAAGAGTTCATCTTTTTGGGATAATATTGCCGCAAGTGTGAATTAGATCGACATTCCTATCTGGAGGTTCACTTGGAATAAGATCTATGTCGCAAGGAGCTTGACGAATCAACTATGGCTGAATTTCACATAAAAAAAAAACTAAGAGAAATTAACCATAGTAAAAATGCAATACTTCAGGCTCATGATTGAGACGCCAGGGCTCACTATTCGCTCCTGATAGGCATGAAGAGGATGGACTATACTTCTACATTCTTGAGTTACTCAAAAACGGAAATGTAAATCAATGAGACTGAGACATGAAACACAATCCTTTCGCATGGAGTTCTTCATTTTCTCGTTTTTAGTATCGACATACTCAGGAGCTACTCATCCGGAGGTGATGAAGGTTTGTAAGCAGTCTGTTGTGAACCGTTATAGTTCACTTCTCAAATCTTTGATTACAAGTCTTTAGCCGAATTTAGGTGTATTTCCATCGACGAATATAAAGGTGTATTGGTTACGTAAGGTTCGATTGCGAATGCATGAGGTTATTAGTCAATGCACGACTGAACGGACAGGTAGTCTATCTGACCTCGTCATAAGAAGAGTACATAGTTGCTTTTTATTGTAAATATTTTGTCCACATAGGAACGTTCCACGTAGGCGCATGACTTCCCGACGTGAGATCGCCCAGATGACTCTTTTTCGTGATTTGTTTCCCGCATTCTTAGTGCTTCAGTTTTATATTCCTACTTGCAACTAGTCAAAAGTAGAAGATAAGAGTCCCCGTTTTGGTGTGATGATTATTAGAATTTTGCGTAATTCTATAATTGCCATACGCGGTGATTCATGATATGAGTTTTAATCTGCAAGCTTATATTAACTCTTCATAGGACTCAATTCAGTGGAGGACAACTGCTAAAATTTTGTTTCTTTCAATAATAATATTTACAAGATCGAAAAATGCAAAAAATTCATATAGCTATATTATTGTTATATCTGTCGAAATCATCATTTTCATTGCGTGTTGTAGATGGAAGTCGTAAATATTTGAGTTACTTGAATTGTGAGCTTTACATTATCTTAATTTCCTTCACAAAGTCACTCGTATCAGAAAGGCAAATTTGAAAGGGAAGGAACTTTACCGATCTACCAAGCTGCGATAATCCATGGTTATTGTGAATTAGTGAAATGCGCGACTAAATATTTCACCTTCCCCATGATGCATACGTCAAAGATTATATTGAATTCATCAACATTATTGTCAAGTGTCGCAAGAACACGAAGATACCGACTTCGGCGTTAATATCTAGAGTAAAAAGGTACTATATTTATGATGATAAGAAGGATTAAGCGTTCGCCTCTGATCAATCACTCATTGCTGCACCATTCATTATACTATTATGCGTAGTATAGGCCACTGAATGAATATTTGAGTTATATAATGAACAATTTATGTGGGCGAACTTATGTATCAACTCAGAGTTTCATTCTGAAAGATAGGCTTGATGTCAATTTTTTGCTCACGGAGGGATTGCGTTTTGGCTTGAAGGTCAACTGCCGGACGTGATCGTAAATCTAGCAAATTTGCGCATTCTAGGAAAACCTCTAATCTCGACGAGTATCTCTTTGCTTGTTAATCTGATTACCATGACAAAGGCGACATCCAAAGGCTCACACAAAAGCGCGTTCTCATGTAGAGCATCATCACAAAAGTAGTAAACGGTAAACTATGACTAAATTAGTTTACCTGAGGGCGAAATTTCTATATTATGATGCGCAGAGCCTTTGAAGCGTTATAACCTTAGTGGAGTACGTTTGCGATTTCATGATTGCAGTAATATTGGAAATCTCTACGTTCATATGGAGAACGAGGGGTAAAAACGATTGTTGATGCTACTAGTGAATCTGCTATGTAGGCTAGGCATACCCTGCAATACACATTTAGCCTTAACTCAACTACACGCTCCCGGATAACCAAGCGTTCACTCTTTGAGGTTAATGAATCGCTATTAGACTTCTCTGTGGAGGTTCTTTCTACATCTAACTGTTAGAGCGGTAGCCACCGCAAGTCGTTGATCAAACAAAATTTGTATTCAGTTACACCTGCAGTGCAAATAGGGTCATATGAATGTCGCTTCTTCAACGGAATGACCAGCATTAGCCCTTCACATCCTTTGTATTTGTCAGCGAATCGTTCTAGTTGTGGATATAGCTCTGAGTAAAAAAAAATAACAGAATGGTCACACTTCAAGTGGTTGATGAAGTGTTAAATGGAACGAATGGTCGCTAATGATTCGGTCAAGAATGTTGACCTGAACTTGCACTGAACGTCGTCGATCGCAAACTGTACATGAGCAGATCGGTACAAGCCATAAGGGAGTGTCACACAACTCACATATGCATTCTCCATCTGCCTTTCTCGCCTTTCTCACTAGTTTTCTCGTTTAAGTCAGTGATTATAGAGACGATACCGAAAACAAGAAGGTGGAGAGTTTAAAAGTAAAATTCACCACGCCCCATAACGGACATTGCTGTCATTCTACCGGCCAGCGCCCATCACTTTTTCGCTTTTCTTCATCGATACTGGTTACTGGTTTTCACATATGAACCTTTTAAACGATATAGAAGCTTTGTCAGTTTAAACACCAATTTCCGCGACTAATTTCGTAGTCAGTTTCTTTATCTATAGACACCATCGATAGACGATTTGTTTGTGCTATGGTGCTCTATGGTTTTTTCTCAAAAACACTCTCACACCCTCAGGACTAAGTAATCGTGTTTGCCAGTAGAACTCAATAATAATTTTTTCTTCTATCGCGACACATAAATAGATGATTGGCCCAGTCTTCAACTCCACCTAATCGTTCCTCTGCAAACAATTTTCGGTTTCATTACCGCGATCCATCATGTGTTTTCGTCGATATTGTACAAATCTGAATTTCAGGTCATGATTTTGGTGTGGTTCCTTTCTCTTTTCGTCACGAACATCTACGGTACGACCATTTGTTGTTGCCCAAACATATCACAAGATTTTCAGAAACATTTCATATTGTATTAAACGGAAATGGAGACGGTAGCTAGAATACGGTGCTAATGGATAGCATTTGAGAGAGCGAAGATAGCACAGAGATAAAATCGCAGTGAAAAAGCTAAAGCTTCTTCGGAAATTTTGGTACCAAATACAGGAGGATAGAGGTGATAGAGGAAGCTGTGTGGAAAACTATATTGTATGAAATGTACTTTGGTTATTAAATATCAAATTAAACGACAAATGTACTTTATAGGTGCGGCCATTCCACCACAACCGGTAATACCGACTACCAGTACTTGCCTTCAAGGCTGTTTTGAGACGGGAAGTGTAGTGAATGCAGCATTCGATCTACTGAATTTCAAAAGTATCGCTATGGATATCGAGAATTTTTGCAGGTAAACGCGTGATTTGAGAGGTTCAACGGACTATGATGAGACTATCAGAGTTCGTTTGGAGGTCAACACAACTTATTGTGTAATGCTACTTCACAAGTGAACATGTGATGTCTTACCGTTTAGCAAATATGGCCGCATTAGTTCGCGACTTTTTTTTATGACGGCAATGCCAACTGTAATAAATCAAAGACCAAATCGTTCGTGTCACGAACAGTAGGAAAATAGTTTTAGAAATGCCAATTTCGTAATACGTCCGGGTAACCGTATTTCGCCAGTACTACGTCATTTAAGGAGATTGGTAATGACTGTGACCAAGTCCAACTTTGTTGTGAGACTAAACTTACAGATCTGATGGCAAATGACCTGATTTTATGAATTGCCATCCAGTGCTCCCTTTATTACACATGATAAGTGAAAACATTAATTTTAAGAAATTTGTAACTACAAACCAATCAATTCGGGCTGTATAGTCAAGAGTCTGCCTCCCTCCTTCGTCGAATCAATTCAGTGTAATATTAGATGCAGTTCTTCTGCTATGATGCCAGAATTAGTAATTCGTCAAAAATCATCTAGGCGCAATCATTTTAGTAAACGAACAATACATAGGACCCACCAGACGTCTGAACAAAACTGACTGGTTTGCGCCGTCTCAATATAATATCTGTGGTTTAAGAAAATATTAGAGTTCGCGTCCAACGTCATTCTCTTCGTTTCGTTTGATAAGGGTTCAGCCATTCTCCATACACTTCTGATCATGGCTGTGAATGAGTGGTGTAACATATAATAGGGTATATTTAAAGCTTACGGTAATTTCAAATCAATCGGCAACACTGTCACTGTAAAGTGCTGTCGCTGATCGTTGAGACACGGAGAATATTTTTCATTATAACGTAAATTATACGGAAACAAACAACAATTCGATTCGATGAGCGAGTTCTTATCAAGGTCATTTCACGACTTGCAAATGGATGCCAACGACGACTACACTGATGACGATGAGACAACGATATGCGTTTCCTTGTTCGTTCATGAGGTTTCCAGTAGAGTTATCTCAGAGGAATGACGAGGATTTGAGGGCGCAGCTAGGGATTTAATTGACATATCTGAACTTTCTTGTCACCTCTGAAGAAGCTGCTAGTGGCCGCCTGTGACGTTGCCAAGATTCTGGAGGTGATTCTGGCGATGACTGATGTGTTGGTGACATTCTCTGTGAGGCTAAGTGGGTGGCTATGGCGTGGATTTGAATTGAAAGATAAGCAAAGATGGGAGCTATGTCGTAATCAAATTAAAAGACATGAAATCACATGACGAGTCAGGAAAAATTCTGGTATCGCGTAGGTT